GCCCTGCTGACACCTTGATTTCAGACTTTGAACCTCCACAGTGGAGAGCATAAATGTCTGTTATTTTAAGCCACTCAGTTTGTGGTACTTTGTTAAGGCAGACCTAGAAAACCAATACAATACTCCCCTTCCTTCTCTCTCACTCCCTTTTATGTTCTCAGCAGAGATATTTAGCATCTCTTTGTTATCTCAACACCTATCCTCAGATCATTGCTGACCCACAAGCTGCTGATAAATGTATTTTCCTGAATGAGGACAGTTCCTCTCTAAGAGAAATTCTGATGGCAGAGGTCAAGAAAAAGATTTTTTTCTCTCCATTACCTATAGTGTATTTAGATTAGGAAAACATACAATCCAAGTGCCCAAATTGAATTTGGGGGACTAAACTCTACAAATTGGCTGTTGCTGTTGATCAAATAAGCACACTCCTGCTTCACATGTATTGGGAGCTTCCCGTCATCAATAGAGATGAAGACCTCTTGCTTGTCAGAGCCCAGAAAGTTCATGACTGTGGCCTCTACTTCCCTCTGCCTCATCCAGGACTGCTCCCCAGCTGCCACTCTCTGCTCCACTCACACTGCCTTCTTTCAGTTCCTCATTCTCAACACATCCTCCTTCCACCCTCACACCATTGACCCTGCTTCTCCTGCTGCCTGGAACACTTTTCTCCAGATTCCTGCCTCAGCCCATCTCTGAGGTAACTCTAATCATCTTAGGTCAACAGTCAAGTCCTTTCCTAATGTCCCAGGACTGGGATATATATATCACATCCCCTAATCACAGACTTTTATGGCACCCACCGCTTTTCTTTAGTAATATTTATTCATTGCTAATTACAACAGAAGCTCTCTTAATTCAGCACCACAGGGAATTAACTGATGCTTTCAAATCTCTTCGTAAAAGGTATTGATGGATTGCCCAGATCACGATCAAACACTTGTGGCTTATGCCACCTGGTAACCTCAATGCCTCTACTCCCACCAGCTGAGCTTACGCTTACTAAGAGTGGGTTGTTTTTGTTCCCAAACTGTTTATGGTGGTTGTACTATATTACTATAATTATGTAGTTTAAATATCACATAAATGGATCAAATATGAGCATAAAAAGAGAGTTACTGTTTCTATGAAAACTCAGTTAAATGCTTCGGAAAGACCTGAAAAGCTGGGGGAAAATAATTGCTCTTAAATTAGTTGTAGTCAAGACAAGTGTAAAAGATTGGGGAAAAAAATAAAAATCTTAGTGAATTTAGATGGCTTCACAAGTGTCTTTAGGTTTTCCCTCCACTTTACAGTATCTGAAACTGGAAATTGTAGATGATATGTATATCCCATCATTTTGAGTGGGCTTTATGCAAGAATGTTAACATAAAATTTTAATGACCGGACAGATCCTAAAAGAAAGCATCTTGGCTCTATCAAATTTAGCAAATGAATGTTCATTTTGTATTTTAAGTAAAAAAAAAAAATATATGTAAAAACCATATCTATATGATTAAAAATATACATACCAAATCATATACATACTTCCCACTTTAACTGCATTTTCCAATTAACTAGTTAGTGGTCTTACTCCCATTGGAAAATGAGTTTTCAACAGTAAATACTTATTGACATAATCATTTCATTAATATTTGACTGTGAGCTCTATTACAAGGGGTACGTGTGTGTGGTTCAACACTAACATTCCAAGCCAGGTGCGGTGGCTCACACCTGTAAGCCCAGCACTTTGGGAGGCCAAGGTGGGTAGATCACTTGAAGTCAGGAGTTCAAGACCAGACTGTTCAACACGGTGAAAACCCATCTCTACTAAAAATACAAAAGTTAGCCAGGTGTGGTGGCATGCACCTATAATCCCAGCTACTCAAGTGGCTGCAGCATGAGAATCGCTTGAACCCAAGAGGTGGAGGTTGCAGTGAGTCAAGATCTCACCACTGCCCTCCAGCCTAGATGACAGAGCAAGATGCTGTTTCAAAAAAAAAAAAAAAAACACTAACATTCAACTGCTTGACTATGGCACATAGTAGGTAGTCATTATTGTGAATAAATTGAAATTTTTCCTTTATTTTTGTCCTGTGCAGACACAGCAGATAACATAATAAAATATTTAAGCATATGTCTCTGAAGGAGGTTCAAATATGTGGAAAAAAATTACCCTCAGAATTCTTTTGAGCAATAAGTGTTAACTTCAACTTTGTGGAAGACCGTTCAGTCTGTTGGGGCATGTTTGAGGACCACACACAGTATCTTTTCTTTCTGACTGATAGGCTGGCTGCCCTATTTTGTCTGAACAGGACTCTTTGGATGGGTGTGAATCTGAACCAGGGAACAAAGGAGGTACACTTTACTTTCCTCTCTTTATGCCATGAGAAATCTATCCTCCTCCATGATCCAGCCTTAGTGAACGTAACAGATGGGTTTAATCCATAAAAATGAAAAACTTTTCCCATTTCAACTCCATTTCCTGCCTGTCCAGGTAAAATAAAACTTTCCCTGAGGAAATGATGTAAATACACTAGACATTCTTAAAAGATCCTACATAGCACAAAATATTGCTAGAAACCGAACCATGTTTCTTTTCATTTAAAAAGAATTATGAATGGGGTAGTGAAAAAAATATAGATGGGAGTGAGGAAATGCTTTCCAATCCCAGCTTCGTTGTGCTTTCCTTCCCAAAGCTTCAATTGCCTTGTCTGTAAAGTGGGACTGATAAGAATGCATGGCTTGTCTATCTTATGGAATTATTGTGAAGAATCAAATTAAATGATACCTATACAGACTCTTGCCGTACTACAAAGGGTGACATAAATGTGCCCTGGTGTTGTTACTACAAGGTCCCCCATGCCACATTTCCTCAACAGTGTCAGTTTCTGCCCTTCTTCTTTTTGCCTGGCAGGCTGCACTCAATTCATTTCCTTTAGCACAGACACAAATAATCTTCTGTTATTACAGGTGAAAGGAGGTTGGAAGCTACTGATTTTGGAGTAGACAACAATGGTCTTGCTCCAACAAACCTTCTGGGGAAATCCATAGAACACTCAACTCCTATCTTGCCCCACAATCTTTTCAAGACAGATAAAGAGGCTTGAGTCAAAGGGCTCTGCAAAAACTGTAATTTCATCACCAGTATGGTTTTCAACTTTAACAGCTTTGGTATCCATCTGTAAAATGTCATTTGTTGTAGTAGCTCAAACAAAAGAATAAACACACATCCACTTCCTTCAATAAAATGTAAAAGTCTACAGTTTCTGTATATTTGTGCACTCAAGCCATACTAATTTATTCTACAATTACTTTTATTTTTTAGCATTTTTATTTGGCTCTTATACTACATAATTAATGGTGTTTACATGGAAAGGTTGTTTATGTAAATGGCCTAAGTGGATTACTGAGCAAGCTTTAAAACAAATAAACATTTTTCTCCTTTTAAAATTCATTTCACTCTCCTCTGTCTGGCAGAAGAGCAGAGTTTTCTAAATGTCCAAGGGGACATAAGAATCAGGCTTTTGAGATCCATTCTCCCCTGGTGAGTCCGGCTTATAATTCTGTTTCCCATAATGGTTGGCCTGGGGGGAGTCAACAGTGACCCCACTAACCCAGCACATCCCAGATTCAGAAGCTTGTCTTTTTTTTGGGAGGTTGCCACTGTTTTTCTCCATGACCTTAAACATAACATAGTATCTGGCCCTTACAGATTGTTTCCTGTGGAGTTTGCAGACCTGAGGATGGGAGACTCATGAGATAAACAAATATGCTCACTATAAAGACCAGAAATACACCAGGAAAGAAAACCTACCAAGTTTCTGAATCTCTCCACCAGAACAATTGCATCACCTAATTGTGGCAATTACTGAGACTGTCCCTCCTAGTCAAAGTTCGAATTGCAAGTTCTTTGAGTGACAACACAGAGCCAAGCTACTGTAAAACAGAGTTGGCATGACAGTGACTACTTGCTAAGACATACATTATTTTTCTAAGGCATTCTGAAGGGAATATATTGACATCAAAGGCCATTTCTTTATTTCTGCTCTCTTAGAGCCAAAGCTAAGGGAACAGGAGTGAAGATGCCTCCCTCTACACCCTTTCAGAGGCCTGAAGAGGGAAGCCTGCCTCCAGGTCATCTCTGGAAGAACAGGTCATGTGTCCCCTAAAGTACCTTTGGAGTTGTCAGGAGTTACAGATCAGACTGTGGCAGCAGGCTTTCTCTACACCAGGCTTCTGCCTCAGAGATGACCACTGAAGAACTCAATGCAGGTGAGTTCTGAAATTCTAGCACACAGAGATCCCTACATCAGTTCTACTCAGATGGGTAGAGCATAGCCTAGAATTGTAGTCCAGACCTAGAGGAGGAGATGCAAGTCAAATGCCTAATGACAAGCATGGGGTTTTTGTTTGTTTTTTGGGGTTTTTTTGGAGACATAGTTTCGCTCGTTGCCCAGGATGGAGTCTCAGCTCACTGCAGTCTCCCCCTCCCGGGTTCAAGCAATTCTCCTGCCTCAGCCTCCTGAGTAGCTGGGATTACAGGCACATGCCAACACGCCAGGCTAATTTTTGTATTTTTAGTAGAGATAGGGTTTTACCGCATTGGCCAGGCTGGTCTCAAACTCCTGACCTCAGGTGATCCACCCGCCTTGGCCTCCCAAAATGCTGGGATTACAGGCATGAGCCATTGCACCCAGCAACAACCATGTTTTGAATGAACAAAACTGTACAAGACCCAGAGCTGTCTTAAGACCTTCATATTTTTAAAACATTCTTTCATATCACTTGAAACATTAAAAGGTATACATATTTCACACTTAATAATTTTTCTATGAAAGGATTTTTCAAATTTTGCTTGTGAAATTTTTTGTCTAAAGTAAAATATAATTTCTCTACGTTCATCACATCTACTCAGGAACTCTCATTTGGTGAAAGCATCTCATCTAAAAACTGTTTTCCAATGTAATGAAGTTGTTATGAATGCTAAATCCAGCCATTAATGAAGCTGACACGGTGTTCGATTTTGTGACCATTTAATACATGTTTATTAATTTTGCTATGACTGTCCTTTTTTTTTTTTTTTTTTTTTGTAGACAATCATTTTTCCTGGCCAGACTCCAGATATTTACCCAAGCAGAACTCCTTTCCCTAGCACTGTGGGTCCTGGACCTAGGGACTAAACTAGTCCTCTGAGCTCATGGCAGTCAGCCAGGCACTCCCAAAGAGGATATCAACTACAGTGAGTTCTCAGGGATTCCCAGACATTCCACAGGACTCCCTCTAACCAAAACAGCAGTGTGGAGGCTCCAGGTCTTGTGCTATCACTTACAAACCCAAGAAATTCTTACTCATTAAACTAAATTCTGAAAATTTGTGAACTTTTGACTCCTTAGAGAAATTTACTCATAACCAATGCTAAAAGCCTTTCTTGGCCTTGGTGAATCCATTCTCTTCCTTCAGTGGGTGAAATCAGGTTTCATAAATCCAAGTGATTTTATAAACCTTTGTTTTCCAACAATAAAGGAGATTTGGAAGCTGACCTGGAGTTACATTTCTAGGAAGCTTTTCTGTTGTTCCACAGTATCTAACTACTCATACTCCACCAAGGTGTTTATAACTAGCCCCCAGATTCCTTCTTTAAAGATATCCTATCAGCAACTGTTAGGTGGAGTGTGCTTTATCAACTGACTTTTTTTTTTCCAGAAAAATGAAGTCTCATCAGAGTGCAGCAACTGAAAAATAATCATAGTAGTCTGTTGTCAGTCACAAAATTCTTTCTTTAGTCTGTCAGAAAACACTGAAGTGACAAAGAACTTGTAAATTCTACTTTCTTAATGTGGCTTCCAGCAAGACCACAAAATCAGTGTGATTTGTTTAAGGAATTCATTCCTGACCTTGGTTTGCTTTGTATCTTTTTTAAGACCACTGAGTTTAGAACGAATATATAGTGGTAAGCTTAAGGCATCAGACAGCATAAGATGGAATTCCAATGTACCATTTTGTAACTGTGAGAACTTGAGCAAGTTATTAAACCTTTATTTCTTCATCTGTAAAATAGTACCAGTAATACTTAATAGCATTGTTCGCAGGATTAAACAGACTAATGAGTATAAAGCTCTTTGTGAGCAATCAATAAATGTTAGCCTTGAGTATTACTATAGTTATTATCCATCATTTTCTCATTATTTACTGTCCCACCATTTAAGCCACCACACCTAGAACCTGGATTGCTCAGTAGCTTCCTCACCTCCCTGCTTGCTCTGCTCTGGCCTATTCTAAACCCTTCCCATCTACTTCCCAAAGCTGAGGAATCCCTTCAGAATGGAAGAGCAATCAGTTCAACCCCTTTCCCACATAAAACAGAAATGCTCCCAGCTACTCTTAGCACAAACCTGAAAGGCCCTGCATGGCCAGACTCTTGCTTACCCTCTCCAGCCTGTTTCCACCTCTCTCCCCCATTCCAAGCCTCAGCCATACTCATCAGTCTTCCGGGTACAGCCCACACTGCGCCCCCTCCACCACACCCTTCCCACAGCCGGCAGAGCTGTCCCCCACCCCACCCCCTTCAGATCCCAGCCCCAAAGCTACCTCTTCAATGAGATTCCCCTCAGATCTTTTCAGAGGTTCATATTCCTTCCCTGCAAAGCACATAGCAGAATAAACGCATGACCTATTTAATAAGGGATAATTTCCTAATGTCTTCTTTCCCACATCATTTTCAGTTTGCGGGAGGGTACGGCTGCCAGTTTTGCTCATCGCAATCCTCATTACCTAGTTCAGCCAAGACCTAGGAAAGGAGGACAGTAAATATTAAATTAACGAAAGAATGGATCCACGCAGAGGGCTTAAAATGGTTCAGACTCCACAGCCTCAAAACGTTGGCTCTGTACCTGAGGCTCGTTATTAAATGGTTCCCAAACATGAGGGATCACTTTTGCATGTTTTGTTTTTTAGTTTGGCCTTGGTTTGTGTGTCACTTTTCACGAGTAAACGTTCAGGCGCGGCAACTCTTGAGAGCGTAGACCGGACCAGATCCGAGGGAGCCTAGCCGGCAGCACTGCTGGAGTGGGGCGGAAGTGCGGGGCGCGGGGCTGGCGCCGTGGGTGCGGGCGGAAGTGCCCGGCGCGGGGCGGAAGCGGAGATGTCGGCGGCGTGAGGCTCAGGTGGGTGCCCCTACCCCCGTGCCGAGGGTGGGCGCTCGCGGCTCTCCGGCTCTGAGCCGGCGCGCAGGCTGGCTGGGGTTCGCAGTGCCGCATGCTGCCAATTTTCATTGTCGTTAGAGGGAATTTAATTAAACCGGGTGCCATAAATCCATGAACCACAGGGGGGAGATTATAAACGCGTGTTCGTGTGTCTGTGATGGCGCTCTGGGAAGTAAATAAATGACGGGGAAAGGAAGCTTTTTTTAAGAGAAAGCAGAAAATATCTCAACTTCATACTTCTTCCAGTGATTCACAGATGCCCCGTCCCGGGTTTAATTGAATTCTATGAAGTGGTAGTGTATTCACACTTGGAAGCCTGCTGAGCTGACTGCCTTTTTAAATAAATATTTTTGAGCAGCCACGTTGACCTTTAATTGGGGTGAAGAGGTTGAAAGGTGCAGCAGGGAACATTGTGAGTGCAGGGGCTCTCTGAATCAGCTGTCTGGATCTCCTCTCAGCCTTATTGGGCAAAAGCAGCCCTCTGGGTACTGAACAATGAGAGAATAAATCAGAGACTGTACATTTTCGACAAATACTTCTGACAAATAGCAGCTCATACAGTTTTTTAATAAGTCCAAGGGTAGAAAAGTCTCCACTAAAATGTCATTGTGAATTAGGCTTGTGACTGTTTCTAAGGCTGTGTTTAACAAGGAGTGTTTTGCTTGGGTGTTCTTTATTCTTGTTTATTAATAAATAGTGTGTATGTGGCACATTATATTTTAGTGTCCTTTAAAAAAAAAATCCATAATATGGCCTTAGCTTGACCCCAAGATTCTCAGTTCCTCAAGGACAGGAATGGTGTCTAAGATATGTTATATCCCAATACTTTCTAGCACATTTCCCAGCATTAGCATACAGTTCCTTGTTTCAGCAGCCACTAGAGCTGTGCCTTGGTATGCACAACGCTGAGCAATTGAGGTGCTTATTAAAGGCCACAGTCTTCTCATTTGGTCATATTCTGAGGACTAACTTATAAAAATACATGTAAAACTCTCTACTAATATTTGGAGCTCTGTACATTGAGGTGCATTATAGGTAAATGCAGAAAGATTTAAAACATTGGGAAAAAAGATATACCCTGAAAATACTGGGTGATTATGGTAATACCGGGGCAAAGCAGAACTAATCATGGTTCTATGTGAAATACTGTAGCCCAGTAACCTGCGTCCTGCTCTGCTGAGGAATCGCCAGGAACCAGAAAGGCCCTGTTTTGAAAATTAAGGTTGGTGGGGCTGGTGTTTTACACAGGCAGGATCCCCAGATTGTCTTTCTTCCCTGCTGCTGTGGCAACAGTAGCCACATGCCAAGGAAGGATCAGTATTTTTTTGTCTCCTTCATCGGAGGAATATGTGGCTGTGTGATTTTATTTAGATGGACCGTTGGCAGGTAAGTAATAGAAATGAGGATTTTTCCAACTTGGGAATTTATTAGACTGTGTTTCTTTTTTGTTCTAGGTGCCTGGCTCTAAAGTACCCAGAGGCACTGTGAGAGATGCCTTTAAAATAGGTTATTTTTTAATTATTAAAGTTTTTGTACTTTATAACTTATATATACTCTAGCTGGCTGACATATTCAGTTAATCTAATGCTAGGGCGTGGGGTTTCAAATATAGCAGGACCTTGAGGTGATCTGGTACAAGTAGTGAGGTGTTTTATGTTCCTTATTCAAATCTAATTTTTGCCACTGTTTTATTCAAGGAGTATACATCAGAGGAAGCCAAAAGCCAGCTGGAATAGTTCCTGAATACAGTCTTAATCTTGTTCGCAATTATTTCAAAGGGGAGAAATCATCTGGATCAGGTATGTGTAGCTACACAGCAAGGACTAGGTGAGCTTCCTCTATCCTTCCTCTAGTATTGCATAACAAATTTTAGGAACAAAATCATTTGGGGAAGAATATGCAAAATAAAAAGTTTTGGCTAAGTTTAGCATATGTATGAGTCTACATCCCTAACTCCCCATCCCAGTACAGCTACGAAGAACAGGAAACATGAAAATGTTACTGTCTTTTTATTTCAATCCTTACCAAAGTTAAAGTTTCCAGAGATGGAGGCAAACTCAAAGTACCTACTGTTTTCAGAAAGTATCCATCTTCAAGGATTTCAGACCATTTCACCAGTAATATTTAGTAACAGCCTTTTTACTGTTACAGCCTTCATCACTGAGGTATTGTGGTATTTGTCAGTCTTTCTCCTGCTCAAGGTGTGAGTTCCTTAAGGGCAGGGACAATATCTTAATCACTTTTATATTTCTAGTACATGGCACAGCACGTGGCACATTGCAAATGCTCAGTAAAGGCTATAGAAATGAAAAGATAGTGTCTCTGAAGGGAGATTGGATCTATAAAGGGTATAAAACATTGGGGATATAACAAGATAGAGAAAAGAATATAACACATAACCTCCTTTCAGGTTGTAACTAGAGACAGAAGTAATGCTTTAATAAACAGCTTGGGGCAGGGAAGAGTATATTTGTGAATCCATTAGATGTTCGTCAAACTGCCTTCCAAGGAGATCTGGCCTGGTCAGTTGTGCGTCCTTTGTTGTGTTGAGTAGACTATGCAAGCTAAAAGCCTCCACCAACCTGTCTCCACACTGTCTCCAGCCTGCCATGCAACGCCTCACCCAAACACCTGTTAGCACATGTTTGAAGAGTATCTGCTTGAAAGTGTGCCAAATTATTAGCTTACATAGGGCACCAGTATCTTGATTTGGTCTTGCCTTAAGGATAGAGAACCTCTATAGTGTCACTATCTTAAGTCTGGTCACTATTTTAAGTCTAGGTTGCCCAAATAATATTGAAGGAAATCCACACTTGTCTTTTCTACTTTACTAACAACATTTCAAAGGAGTTCAAAGTTGACAGCTTTTTGTGTTGTAATAGGACAGTGGTGGTATATGTTGCTGCCTTCTATTGCCAATGGGATTGCAGGAGAAATCAATCACACTGTTACAACTGGAAACAAATAAATTTCCTCTCATTGTTCCAGTGCTTTTTCATGTTAGTCATGAAATAGTAGGGAAATGATTTTTAGTTTAGTCAGGAGGAAAGGACATGACATTGAATTACTTGATTTTTTTTTAACTCTTTGCTTCTTAAAACACATAGTCTTCCACCCAGTGAAGAGAAATGATACTATTGTTTAATAGAATCATTAAACCCAGGACATTAATCTGGGGAAAAAAGATCTAAATTCAGCCCTTTCTCCAGGTTAAAAAATGAAATGAATGTGAATCTTTTTGGATTTAGAGAACAGAGCCTCATTTTTATGGTAAAAGAATTCTGTTGTCTGAAACTGAGACTTTCCTCATTCTCTCCATCCTTAAGTTAAGCCTTATACAAGATGAAGTGTCTGTTAATTGGTATATTCTGAGGAATAATATGAAAAGTGTTTTGAGATTTCTTTGGAAGAAAGAGTGTTGAACTTGGAGATCCCACACTTGTCTTTTCTACTTTACTAACAACATTTCAAAGGAGTTCAAAGTTGACAGCTTTTTGTGTTGTAATAGGACAGTGGTGGTATATGTTGCTGCCTTCTATTGCCAATGGGATTGCAGGAGAAATCAATCACACTGTTACAACTGGAAACAAATAAATTTCCAGTTTTGTGTTGATCTCATTATATACAAAAAAATACTATTATTCCAGGAGAAAATATACAGAAATGAACTAAAAAATGTAGTATGAAAAACTTAAGCATTCATTTCCTTATACATAAAGCAAGGGGAATCTCCAAAGTCACTTCCAGTTCCAAAACATTAAAAAACTCTATCAATGATAGCTGTTCAAAAACAGACTAGGACTCAGAAGATTGTAGAATCTCACATAATTGAGGGAGGCCACAGCCTAATATCAAGAGTGACTGGCTCCCAACTTTCAGATTGAACTTTGTATTTCTACAGGCCTAGGTCTCACTGTTATCACAAGTCCAGAGAAATGGTGGATTTAGCAACTCAAATGTCCAAAGTCATTTGCTACAAAATGGCTAGCAATGAATGAAACATCTTTTAGGTTTTGTGGGAGCATAAAGATAACTTCATCTCTTTGACAAGATAAATTGAAAATGGGTGGAATTTTAGGAACAAAGAGAAGACATTGCCTGGGTGGATGGTTTTTGAATTGCAAACAGTTGTTTTTGGAAATGGGATTATATGCTTTTTAAATAGCAGGGAAACTTGCATTACTAGCTGCGTACAATAAGACTAAGATGTCTAATGAAATTGCCTTCTTTCTAGGTCAGTATTAAGTATAAGAGATATCTTCAAAGGGAATGGATCATGTTGGTTAAGAAGGATAATGTGGAAAGGAGTCTGCATAATTCCTTATATACTTTGTTCCCATCCCTTGAACTAGAATGATTTTGCCCTCATCTTAATGCTATCTTTATGGAATGAAGGAATTTTCAAATTGGTTTTTAAACTCTATTAAGGCCTCATGTATGATATAACCCAACCACATTACTCAGGTTTTCTTGGCTTTCAGGAACAGCTTTGTAGCCATTATGTCATAATTGAACTGAACATTCTTGCACACTCTGAATTTGGAATATGCTGCTCTGGCTCCAGGCCAGTTGCTGAGTCAGTATCTTTGGGGTTGAGGATGGAGGGGAGGGGTATAGTGTGTACAAACCCCATTGTGTTAACAGGAATTAGCCCAGAATTCCTTTTGGACTTCCCTTGGGAACTAGAGGGGGTATATGGTGAGCATACATTACTGTTCTTGATTAGCATCATTATTTTACTTTCTTAGCTGAGTGTTTGGAAACTCTTCCTTGACATTGTCATGTGCACATCTGTCATGTACGTATCTGCCATTACTGAGCAGACTCCTCTGAAGCAATGATCTAGAAAGTGTGACTGCTAAGATCTAAAGATTCTAAAACAAACTCTTGCTTACACTGAAGACTTCTCTCTCCTTCCTCTTTGCATTTGTCAGCTTGCCATGGCTGAGGCAAAGACAGCAGTGCTTCTGGATGGGAAAGAGAATGGCACGGTGAAAAGGATCTTGCATTTAAAATAATCTTTAAAATGTGTTTAATAGTAAGAAAGAGAAATTCATTATTTTTTCTTTGTAGGGGGAGTTTCATCTTGGATGCTTAGACAGTTGCAAGACGAGTGCCCTAGTGTCACCTTCCCCATTTCCTAACGTGGTTCTTTTTGACACCAGCACTTCCCAGATAAGACTGAGGAGTGAGAAAAGGGAGTTTGCAGTGAGCAAATACCTTTGCACTTCTGCCTGGATCTATAAGTGAATTTCAGTCCTCTTTAAGGGGCTGTTTTAGGCTCCTACAGGTAAAAACTACTTTGGATTTTTTAAATTCAAGGCCTTATTTGGTCATAGGCTATTCCCATAGCATTTGTTTAGCATGTGGTTTTCCCTTCTCTGATCAGAAGAATGCTTGAGGCCCATAGCCCCACTGAGTCTCTAAAATGAGAGAATGGGACAAGTGGTAGCATTTCCATTTAATTGTGGTTGAAACTGAGGCTTTAAGAGATGAGGATTTTCCTTTCTCTTTGGGGTTTATGTTTATGAAATCCTCACCTAAAAATGCACTCAGGGAATTCAAACATGTTGAATTTCAGCAGAAACTCTATGTGAAGAATAACTTCAAAGCTCAAAATGAAGAATTATACAATTTATGCTTAATTCCCCTGGTTAGTTAGTAGGAGCTGTGTTGGTTTAAATTTATTTTGACCTCTCTAGACAATTTACTCAGAACAACTTGGAACAAGTTTTGTCTTTAAGACTATCAATAAAATCCACTTTACAATTACTGAGGCAGCTTCTTTTTTGACGTACATTGATTGAGGATATCCTTGGTAAAATAATAATGGTACTGAATTTTCCCTCTTTGCGAAATAAAGACAAATATTGGGGGAAAAGCAACTGGAAGGGAACAGGCCTTTGCTTAAAACCCATCAAGGGAAAACCATGATTTATCAAAATCTAAATTTCACTACCTTAACAATTTTGTGAAGGCTGGGTAAGTTTAAGCCAATACCTGGTGTCAAGGCATTTGCTAGTCAGTTTTACCTAGGCTTAGTGACATCCTTAGGTGCAGATAAATATGTTGAATCTTTAAACAGTTATATCTTAGAAATTCTTAAGTAATATTCATGAGAAAACGTTCAGTTATTTCTATTTGATTTTTTTTTTTCAGTTTTGCAATTCCCTGTTTCTGAGACTGCTGTTACTAGAGATTTAAATCTTTCATTTGAGGCCAGTAAAAACACATTTCAGTCAATAGAATCATTATTATTAACAATGATCTCTTACTTTTAGTCTTATTTAGTAATCAGTACTTAAGCTTTACTTTTCTATTCTGCTTTATAACTACACAGAGATCATCTCTTTTTAAGATACCCAGTCGACTTTTGCCCTCATCTTCCCATCCTCCCCAATTCTCACCAGAAATACCTCCCTTTAGTTAAGATGTTAAATTGGGTAAGAACCTCAAGGTAGTTCATTTTAGGCATAGGCATTGGTTGAAAGATTTCATTCCTTTGAAGCAGTATTAGATGAATTTCTTCTGATTTGTGGGAGATTGTTTCACTGTCTGTTATAGTCAAGCCCTCATCAGTTTCCTTGACAATGGACAGTTCTCTCATTCTGGAAACATTTTCTCATTGACTGCTGTGATGACACACTTTTCAGGTTTTCCTCCTACTTCACCAGCTGTTCTGTCTGCCTCCTTTGCTGGTTCCTCCCAATCCAACCTCTAAATGTTGAATTGCCTCAGAGATCTATCCTGGGCCCTCTTTTTTTCTCTGTACAATTTTAGATGATTTCACCTAGTTCCATGCTGTAAATATAATCCTTAAACTGATGGACACTCAAGTCTTCATCTTTAGTCCAGATTTTTTTCAAACCTGTGTATGTCATTCTCTCTGTGATTTCTAACATGCCCCCAACTGAGCTCTTGGTCTGACATATTCAATCTATTCTTGCCTCAGTTTTTCTAATTTTAGTAACGGGCACTGCCACCCACCTAGAGGCTCAGAAGCAAAACTGAGATTGTCCTTACTGCCCTCTTTTCTTTAATTCATCATGTCCAATTCATTGGCAAGTCCTGTTGTCTCTGTTTCTGCTCTAGTCCACACCATCCTTTCTCATCCAAACGACCGCAGCAGCCTCCTACCTGTGTCCCTGCTCCTCTCTTGCCCTCCAACAATCTATTCTTCACACAGCAGCTAAAGTTACCTTTTAAAAATGTATATGAGATCCTGTCATTTTCCTCCTCTAAATCTAATTGTACTTAGTTTTTTTTTTTTTTTTTTGAAACAGAGTCCTGCTCCTACGCCCAGACTAGAGTGCAATGATGCGATCATGGCTCACTGCAACCTCTGTCTCCTGGGTTCAAGCAATTCTCCTACATCGGCTTCCCGAGTAGCTGGGATTACAGGCACCTGTCACCATGCCCAGCTAATTTTTGCATTTTAGTAGAGACAGAAGTTCACCATGTTGGTCTCAAACTCCTGACCTCAAGTGAGCCGCCTGCCTCAGCCTCCCAAAGTGCTGGGATTACAAGTGTGAGTCACCACGCCCAGCCCCCAATTCTTTAACATAACCTGCAAGGCCTACGTGATCTGACCCCTGCTCACTGTGGGTTAGTCTCATGTCTTGATTGTATCCCCTATTCCTTGGTGTACTCTGCTTAAGCCATACAGACTTTTCTGTTTCAGTAAATCATTTGTCCTCACTTAAGGGCCTTTGCATTTACTGTTTCCTCTCCCAGTGCAAGCACTTGCTCAGAGAATACCTTAATTAAAGAACCTGCCTCAGTCAGCGTCACATCACTCTGCTACTCTCTCTCCCCTATACGTATCACCACCTCATGTGGCTTGACATTAAAGAGTCTTTTCACCAGAGCATGGACCCAATGAGGGCAACAGACCTTACTTTCCTGTTCATCACCATACCCTAGCACCTACAATAGTATCTGATACATGAAAAATATTAGATAATTGTTGAATAAATAAATGACTCACACCTAGATTTTCGTAACTGACTTCTCTTTCCTATCTTCATTCTCCTTTTCTTGACAGTCTTTTCTGCAAGCTACTGCCAGATTAATCTTCCAAAACACCAATTTTATCACATTCAGAACCCTTCAGTGGTCCCCAGTACATACACAACACATCACACATTGCTTACCCACCATTAAAACTCCTCCACAGCCTCATCCTAGTCCACTTTCCAAAGCTTATTTTCCTCTATTATTCAGCAGAAGTCTCTTTACCCTGTTCAAGGTTCCCCCATCAAATAGCCATGGCATTCCTACCTCCAATACCTTTGTGTCTAACCCTGAATTGGGAAAGCTTTCCCTTTTTTCTATATATCCAAATTCTGAATGAAATGATTTAAGATATTTCTTTTGTGAAGCCACCTCCAATCTTAGCCTGTAGTACTCTTCTTTCCCATTCTCATATGACGTTTGAATTATAGGGCTCTGTTGTTGTATTTCCCGTATTTCTAATTTACCTGCACATATACATGTCTTATCTTCTGACTAAAATTTTTAGTTCTTCATGGGTTGGGATCAACTCTTATTCATTTTTAACCCTTTCCATCTGCACTGTAGAACTAATGAATGAATGATATCGGTGGTTCACTAATCATTGTGAAGCTTGACATAATTTTATTGTTTTAGTTAAGAATTCAACACATTTCTCCTGAATCTATATAACTGAAATACATCTTGTTATTCTTGTTACTTGTATTAAACATGTGGAGTTGATTACTCCATCTGAGAGCTTTATTTAGAGGGGAAAAAATGAGCTAAACACCAGGCAGGATGAAAAAAAATTAATGGTTTAAAGTTACTGAGAACTAGGAGGGTGAAGGGGAGTGTATCTACTAAGTGAAAGATATGTAAATGCTGTATACTTTCAGTGAAATTGTAATCTTAGGCAAGGCCTGCACTTCAAATAGCTAAAGAATGTTTTCACAGAGCAATGTATTGAATACAAATTAATGTAGCACCCATTGAGTGCAAGCAATGGATTAGAGACATTCAGATACTTGGAAATTGTCATGGTAATAATTTGAAGGGAAATAAAGAGTTTTTGTCCCAGGCACTCATGTGACCAGTACTTTCTGGAGACTGACTCTCTGTTGGCTTCTCTCATCCCCTGTGTGGCAAGCCTGTTGACAATGAAATCTGGAATTAGAAGCTGCATAGAGGGAGCGATATGAGGAGCTGCTTCTCGGTTCCAGGGCTGGGCCATTATGTTGGCCAATTCATAGTTTAATGTGTTGTGTGGAAACAAATCAACAGTCCAAACTATGTAGTCACAATGAAGCTGAGCATGATACCATATCCAGCCAGGCCCACAGGTGGGTAGTTAGCTCAGGATCTTTGTTGCAACATTTTGTTTTGAGTTGGCTCCACCTCCTTAACACTTTCCTCCTGGCCAGGTACCCTGACTGCTAAGACAGAAACACGAGAAAAGCACCTGTGATCTCACCTATGCCAGTGAATTAGAGCTGCACTCCAGGTTGGGCCTCGTACCCACCACTGACTCCCTGTTTCTGTTCCAAAGCCTCATTTTCCCTCTGTGTAGCCCCTTGAAATTGACACATCAAAGTATTTACTCAATTTTCAGTTTTGGTTTTGTCCCTATATGGTGCCTCTTCTTGTCACTTGTGGCTCCACAAGGGTCATTTTCTGTCTTGCCTTTGCATCCAAAATCCTAGGATCCCAGGCTAGGTCCCTACTTGTTTGGGAGAGTGGCAGGTTTGGACACAGCTGACTGACCAAAAGCACAGAGGCACACTGGGGAGGCATCAATTGTCCTTGTTTTGCTGAATTAGGTAGAGCCCAGTGACCCAGATGAGTCCCCTAAGAGCAACCTCACCTCATTACATAAACTTCCAGTAATCTAAAATAATGGTTTTGTTCCCAAAAGAGGGGTGTGTGTGTGTGTGTGTGTGTATGTGTGTGTGTGGGGTGGGGGTGTGTGTGTGCAGTGGGGGTATGTGTATACATTTTTCTAGTCATTTGGGTAAAAATAGGAATGTTACACTTAAATTGTAATAAATGTGAAGTAGAGCACTTCTCACATGGCACAAATGACTGAACAGAAGCCCTGAGTCGTCTTTATGGAACATAGGTTCAGTGAGAGCTACAGTAATAGTGTTAAATTTACATTTTACTCTTGTGAAGAAGCTCCAACATTATCTGGCTGATGTAGACTTTTTGATTTTGCACATGAACTAACACTGCAGCTTACTGATGAGGGATCACATGAGCTTGAAAATTTGGTGTGCCAAAGGATTATTTGTATGAATAAAAATTCTGGTCAGTGAAGGTCAGTTTCTCTACTCAAGCGAGAATTATGTTGTTTCCCTTCTAATCGGACACACACAGTGTTTAAAGAATCCAGGAGCTCCGTATAAGTGATGTGCAGCCATAGCCTGGGCAGCTCCTCATGCAAGAAATGAATAATCTTTAATAAAGACTCAAACGATCCTGGCTTCTTTCTGTACTGTAATCAGTTGCCTTAATGGTGTGCCTTTCGGTGCTTTGCAGGGAAAATACTTAAAAGTTATTTTTCTTATCTTGCCTCAAGGAGGGCTGAATTGGTCCAGTCAGTCCTCCTCTCATGTTGTATTTGACTCTGTCATAAAGACCACTGAAGTCAGCCTCAGTTTTATTGAAAGGCCAGCATTCCCTTTCTCTTTCAGGGTGATCTGTGCCTCTAAGGGACACTGGACTTGAAACAGCAGGAGTCACCATCTTTATTGTTAGGCTGTAGAATTTGTTTTAAGCACATTCTAAATCCAGTCTTATGCCTTTTGCTTTTTTTTTATTTTAGTCTGTGACAAAGGTGACCCAATTGTGCTTCTTTGATATTATGAACACAGCTCTTTTTGCTCATATCATAGAGGCATACAACAAAATATGAAGGATAAAATCGTGTCTGTGTATGTAGTAAGGACACATTTCTTGACTAAATTCAATGACATAATCAAAAAAGTGTCCTCTCATAGTCATGAGCTAACAGGCAGAGACCACATTTCAGGATATTTTTTATAATGCTGAGATACTGTTCAAAAATAATAGAACTAATGAAAATGTCACATTGACAGAGTAGCCCATATTAAGATTTTGCTTCAAGAAGACATGATTCGGTGAATGTGACATTGACAGCAATGGTGTTAGGGTTTACAGAGTTAGTAAAACGTTCTAAGAAGAATATTAGAGAGTTCCCACTGAAGTATATCATTTTTTATTTTATATTTTTCTTTTCTAAGATCAAGTAAACATCAGGAATTAAGGAATTTCAGCATATTATCTGCCTAGAAGAGGTATGGGGAGTGTTTTCTTTATATCAGACTCTAATATAATTTTATAATATAGTGCTTCCAAAGAAATAAGTTAATTTAACAATATGATAAAATGCGTATACCTTTGAGTATTTAAGAATATGCAGGTAGTAACATTGTGTAATATGGATGCATTTCTCGCTAAACAGACGTGCTATATTTCAGCAATTTACAATGTGTAAAAAAATAGAAATGGAGAATAACAGTGGAAAAGAGAACTAGTTACAAACAGAATAGTTGTAGCATCACTGAAGGCTTTACTTAGCTTGTGGCTTGGTTGAACAAATACTCCAGCAAATATGGAGTGAATGGCAACTCTGCTTACTGTGACAGCTTTTATTTGTCTTGGGTGCAACCAAGACCACATGCTGTGTTTTGTCATGTTGGAAGTACTGAAGCAGATTTCCATTGTGAGTTTAAATTTTTTTTAAAAGTCTTAACACATCAGTCTCAACTTAGGCAGGTAAAAGCAATGTTTTCTTTATCAGCCAGATATCTTAAACCCTTCACCAAAAGCATATAACTACAGTTCACTGCCCTGGTTGTAGTCAGGTCACCACCACAGGTGGCCTAATCCTTCTCATTTCCAAGGACCTTCAATAAGGCTAATTTTTCTCTAATAAAGCTAATTTTTCTGCCTTTAATAAAGCTAAGTTTTAATTTTCTTTCTCCTAGAAGAGTGTGTCACCATTAGCATAGAGACTTTCCAAATCCCATGATGTATAAGTTTCTACCTAGAACAAACATGACTAACAATTCTGTACCTCCTCCCTACTTTTATAGCCTGTGTAGACAAAGCTGTCTTTAGAAGGTATGTCTTCAGCTAAATTTACCTATTGGAAATTTTTCATTTTGATGAATTTATAGAAATACGTATATACCAGTGATTAACACTTTGTTGAGAGTAGCAGAGAATATTATGAAATTGTTTAGATTCACTTTCTATCATTTAATTGGGAGAGAGATTCAAGTAGACATGGAAGAGTAAGGGCTGAAGAGTAAGAGAATGACCATTGTTTTATTGCATCAGTATCCAATCTTTTTGTCCAGTAGTCTTTAGTGTGATATGGGTTAGTGGTTTTCTCTAAAGTCATATCATTCTGTTTGAAATGAGTTTAAGGCTAATCTTATACTGAAGAGCCTGCTTGCCAGTGAAGATTAGGATTTAATTAATATAGTCATGCTCTGTGGAGCAGAGGAGGGCAAGATTTGAGGTGGTGGTGAAGGGGTTAGAACCAGCTGCAGTACCCTAGCCCAAAATTCTGTGTGTACCCTGAGGAACACTGATCATTAGTTATTATATACGATAGGCCCAAATAGTGACTGCTGTACATGCTGAGTATCTAATCAGGGTTGGAGATGAGATTAAAGAAGGTGAGAAAAGCTCACTTCAGCGCTTTTAACATCCAAAGAAATATTTTAGCACCTATTATGTGCCAGGTTAATTGTGGGTACTTGGAGATACTGGGGTGAACAAGTACCTGTTCTTATAGAACTTGCACTGTAGTGGAAAGGACATAAATAATTCTAGATAGTAAAGGGCAAAGGAAAGCTACAGCAAGGTGTGAGGGTAGGGAGTGATGGGCTAACATTGGTAAGTTTGTCACTATGACCTCTCCAAGGTGACGATATAAGGCCCAGGTCAAGTGAGAAGAAGCTACTTCAGAGCCTTTCATGCAGAGGTAAAGCAAGTGCAAAACTGAGGAAGAAATTATATTGGGCATTCAAGGAACAAAAAGAGAAACTTTGCCCTTGCAACCCGCCAAGGCAAGGGAGGGAAAAGTGATAGATGAAGTTGCAGAGATACAGTAAAGTGAAGTTAAAAAACGGATGATCCCAGGAATTCATTTATACTGGGAATACTGATAAATTACAAAGCCAACAGTGCACATGTGTTTTTAAAGCGAAATTATAATATTTATAGTTTTAAGGACAAAGCTGGAGACTCAGTAGAATAACTAGGAATAAACAGAATGATTGTAGCATCACAGAGGACTTGTGTCTTATGTTGAGCAAAGTAGCAGGATGAGGAAGCTTCAAAGCCTAGTGTTTGAGATGCTGCAATCACCAAGCTGTTCTTACTGGAATATCTCCAGTAGAAACACTAGTATATTTGTGTATGAGGTTTTCAAAAGTTATGACGATCTCCTTTTAAAATACTTCTTAAGCAGTTGAGTAGATTTTTTTTCTGACAAGGTAGCTCAGCCTGGTTTTCTCCTGTATTTCCTCTAAGTATAGCTTTGTGTTTTCTTATGTCTTACAGTGGAGAAGCATAGGTCTCATAAGAGATAGTCTGAGCCTTTACCTGGGGATTTGTGCTGCTTATTCATTGTTTCTTTCTCTTTTTTCTTTTTTGTTTTTTTGAGATAAGGTCTCATGCCCATCGCCCAGGCTGGAGTGCTGTGGTCCAGTCACAGCTCACTGCAGCCTCAACTCCTTGGGCTCAGGTGATTATCCCACCTCAGCCTCCTGAGTAGATGGGACTACAGGTGTACACCACCACACCCAGCTGATTTTTTGTATTTTTAGTAGAGATGGGGTTTTGCCATGTTGCCCAGACTGGTCTTAGACTCCTGGGCTCAAGTCATCCACCCATTTTGGCCTCCCAAAGTGCTGGGGATTACAGGTTTGAGCCACAGCACCTGACCCTCATCATTTTCTTTACCATGGCAGTGGCTAGATGTTATTGAATGCTTGCCAATATAATAAGCTATCTGTGTGAATGAACCATCTCAGGAAACCTCCACATCTTAGGGGATCATCAAGATGCTGGCAAAATCTGCACATGAAATTTTGTATTCAAATTAACAAACCCATGCAGTTTACTTACAGAAACCAAGTGATTAGGCACATAGATAATTCATAACTAGGGATTTTTTTCTATTCTAAATTATTTTTTGTTTGGAATACAGTGAATGTTGAGATATCAGAGAGGCTTGCTAAGTTTCTAGGTCTTTCCACCACTACTGGACTTGAAGAAACAATTCTGAAGCCTTCAAATTCCATCATAAGCTTGCAAATTGCTGTTCATATTGTAAGGAACAAAGTCTAGGGCACATAAGTTAACTGCTTTATTTTTCTCTTGGCAGAATTAAAATGCTCTTGTTTCAAGGAAATAGCATGCAACTTGCCAGATCCTCCTTTGGACTCTTCTTGAGAAACTGCTCTGCCTCTAAGACAGCTCTGCCTGTGCTGACCTTATTCACAAAGGTACAAAGTGAAAAAGTAAAATTGTTGGGTAAAGAAAGTTGTACATTTAAGAAAAGGAGACAAAATTGAAAGGAAAGGCAATGGAATAAACTTTGCTCAGACCTGATCTTCAATTTTTCTATCAGCACACCAGCAGCAACTCTGTTTTCTACCCATACACCTCATTATCTTCCAATTATCAGAGGGTAAATTAATGTATTTAATGGTTATCTGACTGCTGAAAAATAAGTTATAATATGATGTTTAAAAATTTATCACTTAGAAATACCATCAGTTATCTTTATTTGTGGTAGTTATGTTCTATAAAGTCACCATGAACACCGAATTAGTGAATATTGAACTATTGCTTCTAGTGGAAATACACAGTTAGGTTCCTGTGAGTCTCTGGTCACAATATTTTCATTAACCTACCAAATACAGAACCTTATTTTATGTGTGATTCTGTTTAAAGATTCATTATTTATATATATATAACTTGGAATACTATATAGCCATAAAATAGATGAAATCATGTCCTTGCAGCAACATGGATACAGTTAGAGGTCATTATCCTAAGCAAATTAACACAGGAACAGAAAACCAGATACCACATGTTCTCACTTATAAGTGGAAGCTAAACATTGAGTACACATGCACACAAAGAGGGGAATGATAGACACCAGGGCCTACTTGAGGGTGGAGGGTGAAGATCAAAAAGCTCCTTATCCAGTGTATGCTTACTACCTGGGTGACAAAATCATTTGTATACCAAACCCCAGTGTTATGCAGTTTACCCATGTGACAAACCTGCATATGTACCCCCTGAACCTGAAATAAAAGTTGAAAAAGAAAAAAAATTGTTTAATAAATATCTTATTTAATATATATTGTTGATTCATTAACATTAAACTCACAGCCAATAACACCTGTGTAAAACTCATGCCTAAATGAAGCTTATCGAACACATGTCTTTTCTCCATAAGGCACATCACAGTCTTCTTGTGCTTAGGAACCACTAGCCAGCACTTCACCACGTGCCTGGGGTCTTATTTAAACAGTGACATCACCAATAAAAAGCACAGAAATGCAAAAAATCCTAACACGGTTTTACAGTATGAGAGCTAGAACAAGAAAACAGAGCATCACCTTGTTTGACCTCAGCTTGGAATAAGTGCTTTTTTTTTTCACCACTTGGAATAAGTGGTGAAATCTCTCACCACTATATGCCTGCGCATGTCTGTGAATACCTGCAAAAGCGCTTCAAGTATTGATTTGGGGGTTGCACAGAAGTTTTAGTAATTAGGCAAATTCGTAAATTTGGAATCCATAAATAATGCGGACTGATTGTACTTGTTTTTTTATCCCTAACACTAGTTTTAAGCCATAAAGCTAGTTTTAAAATATTTAAGAGCTTCGTCTCCCTGAAATTATAATACAGACATTACTAATTTCTTTTTTTGCTAGTTAACATCACTTTGTATGATTTATCAAAAAAGAAAGTGCAGGTTAATAGAAGTAACTTTGGTGAATAATACTGCTATTCAAACAAAAAAGATCTCTTTTCAATAGGTTTTTCAGATTTCACGTATTTTAGCAATTTGGAAATATATGACAGTTATCTGATAACAAAGTTTAATGAGTTTTTAAAAATGAATTCATTGATGAAAATATTTAATCTAAACTACTTTTTACATCTGTAAGTATATATTGCACTGTTGAAAATTATGAACCAAAAATATTTCATCATCTGAGAGTCTATGATGGGAAACTCATGTGTGAACCACAGAAATTAAATAATCCCTGTGGCTGGTGTTGCTCACTAGGCCTAACAGTTCTGCACTGTTTTTCAGTTTGGGCCCCAGCTAATATAGCCAAAAACATTTGTTAAAAACAAAACAAAACCCTGTACCAATTTTCCATTCAGCTTAATATTTATACTTAATGTTTATTCTATACCATTAGGCACTATAAGAAGATGGCACTCCCACCTTTGGCAGCTTATAATCCAGTGAAGTAAATGCCTAAAAGTACAGTATCAGATCTCTGTCAGTTATGAAAAATAGAAAGTATTTCCTAGAATGAGTTAAACAAAAAGATTCTGGAGTTGGTCTGGTTTCAGGAATAGCTTGAATTTGGAACTAAACATGTTACCAGTCTCTTCAGCTTTGTGTCCTCATGGTTAAATCCCCTCTGGTTCTCGTGTGATATGGTTTGGCTCTGTGTCCCCACCCAAATCTCATTTTGTAGCTCCCATAATTCCCACAGGTTGTGGGAGGGACCTTGTGGGAAGTGATTGAATTATGGGGCAGGTCTTTCCTGTGATGTTCTTGTGATAGTAAATGGGTCTCATGAGATCAGATGTTTCTGAAATGAGAGTTTCTCTGCAGAAGCTCTCTCTTTGCCTGAAATGGCAAGTGCCATGGAAAATCTTAGAGAAGGATATTTGAGTGGTCCATTCTACTGTTATCTTTTTTGGTTCCTTATCCTTTTAAAATTTGATGAGCCTTTCCTCATAAAAATATATAACCATATTTTCATATATAATTTGCGTAGACTTCTATGGACCCCAGGTTTAAAAAACAAAAGAAAACAAAAAACCCAAGAGGAAGTCAAATTGTCTCTATTTGCAGACAACATGATGGTATAGTTAGAAGACCCCATCGGCTCAGACCAAAATCTCCTGAAACTGATAAGCAATTTCAGCAAAGTCTCAGGATACAAAATCAATGTGCAAAAATCACAAGCATTCCTATACACCAATAACAGACTTAAAGAGCGCCAAATCAAGAACGAGCTGCCATTCACAATTGCTACAAAAAGAATAAAATACCTAGGAATACAACTAACAAAGGATGTAAAGGACCTCTTCAAGGAGAATTACAAACCACTGCTCAGTGAAATAAGAGAGGACACAAACAGATGGAGAAACATTCCATGTTCATGGTTAGGAAGAATCAATATTGTGAAAATGTCTGTACTGCCCAAAGTAATTTATTGATTCATTGCTATCCCCATCAAGCTACCTATGACCCTCTTCACAGAACTGGAAAAAGCCACCTTAATCTTCATATGGAACCAAAAGAGAGCCCACATAGCCAAGTCAATACTAAGCAAAAAGAACAAAGCTGGAGGCATCATGCTACCTGACTTCAAACTATACTATAAGGCTACAATAATCAAAACAGCATGGTACTGGTACCAAAACAGATATAGACCAATGGAACAGAACAGAGGCCTCAGAGGCAACGCCACACATCTGCAACCATCTGATCTTTGACAAACCTGACAAAAGCAATGGGGAAAGAATCCCCTGTTTAATATGGTGTTGGGATAACTGGCAAGACATCTGCAGAAAGCAGAAATTGGACCCCTTCCTGACACCTTACACTAAAATTAACTCCAGATGGATTAAAGACTTAAACATAAGACCTAACACCATAAAAACCCTAGAAGAAAACCTAGGCAAAATGATTCAGGACATAAGCATAGGCAAAGACTTCATGACTAAAACACCAAAAGCAATGGCAACAAAAGCCAAAATAGACAAATGGGATCTAATTAAACTCCAGAGCTTCTGCACAGCAAAAGAAACAATCATTAAAGTGAACTGGCAGCCAACAGAATGGGGAAAAATTTTTGCAATCTACCCATCTGACAAAGGGCTAATATAATATCTGGAATCTACAAAGAACTAAAACAGATTTACAAGAAAAACAGAAACAAACCCATTCAGAAGTGGGCAAAGGACATGAACAGACACTTTTCAAAAGAAGACATTTTTGAGGCCAACAGACATATGAAAAAATGCTTATCATCACTGGTCAAGAGAGAAATGAAAATCAAAACCACATTGAGATACCATCTTACACCAGTTAGAATGGTGATCATTAAAAAATCTGGAGACAGCAGATGTGGGAGAGGATGTGGAGAAATAGGAACACTTTTATACTGTTGGTGGGAGTGTAAATTAGTTCAACCATTGTGGAAGACTGTGTGGCAATTCCTCAAGGATCTAAAAATAGAAATTCCATTTGACCCAGCTATCCCATTACTGGGTATATATCCAAAAGATTATAAATCATTCTGTTTTAAAGACACATGCACACATATGGTCATTGCAGCACTGTTTACAATAGCAAAGACCTGAAACCAACCCAAATGCCCATCAATGACAGACTGGACAAGGAAAATGTGGCACATATACACTATGGAATAGTATGCGGCCATAAAAAACGATGAGTTCGTGTCCTTTGTAGGAACATGGATGAACCTGGAAACCATCATTCTCAGCAAACTGACACAAGAACAGAAAAACAAACACCACATATTCTCACTCATAGGTGGATGTTGAACAATGAGAACTCATGGACACAGGGAGGGAAGCATCACACACTGGGGTCTGTTGGGAGGGAATAGGAGAAGGACAGCGTGGGGGTAGGGAGGTTGGGGAGGGATAACATGGGGAGAAATGCCAGATATAGGTGACGTGGGGATGGAGGCAGCAAACCACTTTGCCATGTTTGTACTATGCAACAGACCTGAATGTTTTGCACATGTACCCCAGTACCTAAAGCACAAAAAATTAAAAAGTTAAAAAATAACCCAGTCTAGAGTTTTCTAAAATTTTTAATATAAAAGCGAAATTTTAGCAGATTTGATACTTCTGTAATTTAGCACGTTCTAGGTTTGTTTTGCTTTTAAGATCCTGTGTTGACTTTTTGAAACTTTCTCTGAAAATTTTAGGATGATATCTTAAAACATTACAAACTATCCATAATCTATGTATTACTAATGCTAATAATAACATGATAAGCCAATTCTCTGTCCTAGGAATTTAGGGCCAGAAAGACCCTTTAATGGTCTGAGTTCTTATTTCAAAACACGCTGTGAGTTAAGCTGGAGAAAGGGCCTCTCTTTTACATAATAGCTTCTCTCGTCCTGTCATGTTAAAAAGAAGTTTCTGTATAAGCATCAGTAAAATGGGGTCTGTTTTGAGCTCATGCAAGAGAACCTATAGCTAGTGACTGTTCATCGAGTCAAGGACTGAAAAGCCTTGAAAATCTGCTGATGATCCACAGTTTTTTCAACAGACTTCTCTGTTAGATGGTTTATGAGTGCAAACAATGGACACTAAAAGTGTTTGCTCTTTAGATGGAGAATTTGTCCAGGAAACTTATTGTTGACACTTGTAATAAGAAAACAGGTGGTGCAGTAATCATCTGAAGTGTATAGAGATTTGTTTTCCATTTTAAAGATGAGGCAATTACTATCTAATGCTATCCTAATGGGTTTCTTCTGTGGACTGATTAGGAAAAACAGGCTGGCAAGGCTCAGTTCTTTTCAGTCAGAACAGACTTTAAGCCATCCTCGTGGTTTCAGCCAGGCCAACTGTATGAGGCCATAAAGGTGCACCTGACCTAGGAAGCACAAAGCCCTTAGATAGATTGGTGAAAAAGAGAAACCATCTTAGATAGATCAGTGAAAAAGAGAAACCATCTAAGTGTATAATACATACACATAGATAGATGGCTTGATTTACGGAGAAAAATCAGAACAAAACAACCAAAAAATTATAGAGAGCCTATGAAATACTAGTCATTTGTAAGATTCTATGGTAGTGTTTTACTTTGGAAAAACAGCATAACTAACCTGGTAGAAAACTATTCTTTAAAATAAGCATAATCTGCTTCTTGTGGGTTTTTGTTTTGTTTGTTTTCGTAAGGGCAAATGCCATTCTTTGGGTTTAATGGCTTGATCTTTTTTTCTTCCTGTAGGACCCATGCCCCCTTTGTGATGAAGCCAAGGAAGTACTCAAGCCTTATAAACACAGGGTAATATAATACAGTGTGGCTTCTATGTATATGGAATGCATATTGGATGTGGTATAAAGTCTGCCTGAGTCCTTTCTTTAGGAAAAAAGATTAAATGATTTTTCATTTAAATTTTCTTTCTATTCTTCAGAGAGAGAGTTTAGTGCTTATTACCATAAAACTCATTACACCTAAGTGTTTTTCTCTGAGCAGTACTGGTTTTCTTACTCTGGCTTTTAATGAGTCAGAGTTAACTAGCAGGTGCAGTATTGGTGTTTTCTTTAAACTTTTGCCCCCTTTCCTTTTATCTTGTTTTGTAGTTTCCACAGATGTGTTTTCATGTAACACACCATCACACCTTTCCAGTTCCTAAAACCAAAACATTTCTGTCCTGATTCTCAGTCAGCTTTTCAACTGGGACATGTTTTATTTCGTTGGAACTCAGTACTGTCCTGATGCTGAATTTAACAAGGGTAACAGAAAAGCAGCAAGATCCGGAAGTAGGCAATATAACGAAACCAGTCAAGTTTTGGAAATTAGGATATTAGATCGCTTTGGACCTAAAACAAACAAACAACTATAAGGAAAATGGTATTAGAAATGGTCTGGGGATCAGTTTATCACTGCAATTGTTCCACCACCCCATGGTCTCTACAGAGCTTTAGTCTGTCTCTGTTTTCAGTTTATTTTACAGGAGGTAAACATCACACTTCCAGAAAACTCTGCCTGGTATGAAAGGTATAAATTTGACATTCCTGTCTTTCACTTGAATGGCCAGTTTCTGATGATGCATCGAGTAAACACCTCAAAACTTGAAAAACAGCTCCTGAAACTCGAGCAGCAAAGTGCTGGAGGCTGACTAATGCCCTCATGATTTTCCACCTGCTCTTCCCATAGGCATCTTCCTAAGGAAATATTTGACCATGGCCTGATACTCCTTTTGTCACTTATACAGAGCCCTAAGGATGTTCTGAACTTAGTGGTGCCAAATAAATGTTGACATTCCTCTTTTGGTTGATGGAAGTATCAGTGTGGGAGCTCTTTACTTATTGGCATTTTATAAAATAAGAGGAGCATATTGGCAGGGAGGGAATGATGGAGGGAGGGAGAAGTCCATTTGTCTTATTTATCCTTTTCGTATTAATAGAGAAGCACTTTACATTCACTGGGCAATGCCGTTTATAGGAAGAAGCCTCTGCATTTCTGCTGCTGCCCTGGAGGGCTTAACTTTTTAATGAAAGAATAAATGCTCTTCCACTCAGTAGATAAAGTGAGATGTGAATTGTTAATAACTGTGCATGGTCAATAAAAGGGTGTTTTAAGGAATACATCTGCATGAAGCTTATTCAGTGGGATTTAATAATATCTGTTTAAAATTAGAGTTCATTTTTGTTGAGTAGAAGAGAATTATTATCCTAGTCAAAGAGGCATCATTTGAGAAAAACAAAAGAAAGACTTAAACCCTTAAAATGTATGTTAAAATCTGAATATTCTCTACATAGTCATTGAATTAATTTGTAATATTTGAGGACTGCCTTTGATAGTTACTCAGTTACCATCAATTGAGTTAGTTAAACTTATTTTAAGACAATAGGTTTTTTAAAATCAGATTTCAATGTCTTGGAAAAAATTCACTTCTAAATGTGTCATCTAAAGATAAGTACTCTTTGCCATTCTATGTAAAGAGTTAGAAATGTATTTGCATAACCTTATTTATATTTAGTCAGATTCAGCCAGTGTAGAAATGGACTCACTTGAAAACAAAACTGCCTTTCCTCTTAAAATCTTACCACTGCAGTTCCATGTATAATGAAATTATTTTTTAAACTATTTGAATGAATTTGGATATTGTGAGTCACTAGATTTTAATTTGATCAGTATGATTTAGTCTTAGTATACAATATTAGAGCTAGCTGACCTTAGACATTGTCTACTCCCACTCTCACATTTTATATATGAGGAGAAATCTGAAATTCAGAGGATATTAGGGACTTAACCCAACGTCACACAGCTAGTCAGCTGTCAGGCCAAGTCTTGCCCCACAGCCCCTGATTTCGAGTGCTCTGCGGACTTATTGCAGGGGCTATTATCTCACATACAGCATCCCCAAACATTCCAGATCCAACACAAATTTGGAAGCACCTTAAAAAACCTTTTAAACTGAGTACAGCAGTACATGCCTGTAGTCCCAGCTACTTGAGAAGATGAGGCAGAAGACCCCTGGAATTTGAGTTCAGTCTTGAAAAAATAGTGAGACTGTGTGTCTTAAAAAAAAAAAAAAAAGAAGGGAATAAAATCTTAGCAATTGAATAGCAGTGTTTATAATTTACAAATTTCTGGAACATTCATTTGACATAAATATTGAACCCTGGGGTAGGCAGAATTCTAGGATGATCCCAATGACCCCCCACTCTTGGATAATTCCCTGTCCCTTAGAGTGTGAGTGGAAATCATCACTGCTGTGATTATGTTACATTATATGTCAGAAGGGAAATTATCTTGGGTGGGCCTGACCTAACTGTGTGAGCCCTTTAAAACCAGAGAATTCTCTCTGGTTAGTTATAAAGAGGAAAGTAGAAAGATGTGCTCTAGCAAGCCTGGAAGGAAGCAAGCATCGTATGTATTGCCTAATGGAGCCACATGGCAAGAAACTGGGTAGTCTCTAGGAACTGAGTGGTTCTCAGCTGAAAACTAGCAGGAAGTTGGGCATCAGTCCTGTAGCTTCAAAAAAATTAATTCTGCCAATAATCAGTGAGTCTAGAAGAGGATCCACAATGACAGATGAGAACTGCAGCCTTGACCAACATCTTGATTTCAGCTCAGTGAGACTTTAATCTCACTTGTCTCTCCTTGCTCCTTAACAGATAGTGAGTATCTCAAAGACAAGGACTATGATTTATTCATTTGTATAATCCCACCACCTACTACTATGCTTCACTGCTGAAGCATAGGATTATTATGGATTTGAAAGAGAGGATCTTTGGAGGAGTTTTTTTAAAAAGAAGGTGTGTTCTCACTTATTTTCTACCAAAGTGAAAGAAAGGTTGGGAATCGCTTCATATCAAGAGGGAGGGACATAACTTGGACTCACTGGAAAGCAAATGTAGGTCCTTGGGTAGGAAGAATTCAGCCACAGCAAGCCTAGACTTCTGGTTTACAGAAACTGAGAGACGATAAATGTGTATTGTTTTAAACTGCTAAATGCATGATAATTTGTTATATAGTAGTAGAGAATGAATACAAGTCCTTGCAGCTGTGAAGCATAGTAGTAGGTGGTGGGATTATACAAATGAATAAATCGTAGTCCTTGTCTTTGAGATACTCACTATCTGTTAAGGAGCAAGGAGAGACAAGTGAATAAAGCACAGCATAGTGCAGTGAGGGCTGGAACTGACACATGTAAAATGGTACCAGGTGGGGAAAGTAGCAGAAATGATTCACAGAAACTTAAACCTAAGCTAGGTCTTGATGGCTGAATAGAAGCAATGGATGAGGATTGGGAGTGTGGAGGGTATTCTGTAAGGGAACAGTGTATGTAAAATATGAGGGTGTGAAAGGACACAGATATTCAGGAAATGACTGGTGGCTTTATGTGGCTGGAGTAAAGGGAAGGAGAGTGAAGGAGATGAGACTGGCAAGGTTTATTGGGATCCACGTTGTGAAGGAGTTAGCGAATGTGCATTTGCCCCAGCCGCAGTAGCCTCCCATGCTTTCTGCCTTTATCCATAGTCAGTCCTTCTGGCTCCTGATTACTCAGGGATGTCAGGCCTGAGTAGATACCTAGAAACATGGCATCTAAAAGGTGGTTTGATTATCCCACTGTTGACAAGTATCAGACAGTGTTATGTCACCTATTACTGTCATTACCCCAGCCTATTGCAGTCCTTCTTCCTGTCCTTAAGCATATTGAGCTAAAGAGTCCCTTCTAGTAGTCCTGCAGGACATTCCCACTCTCAGTACAACTAGGGATGCTATAGACAAGATTCTCCACTTGTGTGTCTGGGTGTCCTGTGTTCATTTGTGTGTTCTGCAGGCAGGGTGAGAGTTGTGTAGCCCCCAGGTCCTAGGTTGTTGATCCTTCTCCTGGACCACCAGTTGGAAAGGTTCCAAGAGTTTCTTTCAGTGTCTGCTCAGCTAAGATAGAGAAAATCTATTGTTTCCCTTCAAAAAGCATAGCTGGCCAGAAAGCCTAGACGTTTGTTCTTTTGGAGCACTTCTTACCTGAGTATGACCGTGTGGTTATAGTGTACAGGAAATGCAGGACTAAAGGTGAAACAGTACTTCAACAACAAATTTCTGACACTAGAATATCAAACAAACATGATATAGGATGTTCAAACCAAAGTATTGGCTAAGGCACTAAGAAACAATAGATGCTACATTTCAAGGAAATGCTGGAACACATGGAGGATTATTATGGGCCTGAAAGAGAGGATCTTTGGAGGAGTTTTTTTAAAAAGAAGGTGTGTTCTCACTTATTTTCTACCAAAGTGAAAGAAAGGTTGGGAATTGCTTCATATCAAGAGGGAGGGACATAAGTTGGACTCACTGGAAAGCGAATGTATGTCCTTGGGTAGGAAGAACATAATGCTCTAACTCTCCTGGGAAATCAGACAAGAGATAGGTTAGCAAACAGCTTTGCTGTACAGTGAAGGCAGCCAATACTGTTTCTCTGAATTTGTCCCAGGGAAGTGTGTGTGTGTGTGTGTGTGTGTGTGTGTGTGTGTCCTCATGGACCAGATATGAACCAAATGTGAGAGGGGACTGGTATGAGGCCAACTTCATTGCACGCAGGCCTTAGAAGGGGAGACCCATATGGGAACACTGGGTTCCTAGGGGCTGAGGGGTCTGCTTAAATGGAGAACCCATTTGCCCAAATCAGGGAACTGCAGGCAAGACATCGCAAGTAATGGGTTCAGTCTCCCAAGAATCCGCAACAGCCTCTACCAAGTGTGGTCTGCTTTAACTGTTTATCAGGTCCAGAAGTAGGCCAGTGTACAACTCTGCCACTGAAATTAGAACATTCTCACCTCTCTCCACTTCTGTCTTCTCCCATAGCAACCCTAGAAGGATCAAGAAGCTACCAGGAGCAAGGGGAGGAAGACACTCCCCTTCCTCAGCTACCCACCCATACATTGCTTCTCAGTAGGGAAAAAGTTCCAACTTAACTTTAAACCAAGTTCTAAGTTTTGATTATGACATGGGATTAGATGCACCAAAAAATTTCAAGTGAGTTTGGGGCCTTCTATTGCCTGAGAATGCTCAAGAGTCCTGACATGGCCTGTTTGTTTTTATCCTAAACAATGAAAAATTCATCCACCAAATATATAGGGAAAGAGGGAGACAGAAAGATGCTTTCTGAAGGTATCCCATATTTAGAGTATTGGTTACATATACTTAATGTTGGTTTTAACCTATAGATCTTCAATAAACATACTCATCAATTCTTATTTCAGAGAGGAATATGGTCGTGTGACTAGGAATTCTGGAGATCTTCAGCAAACCCATGGGTCCCAACAGTTGGCAAAATGAAAGGTAGACACCTAGAAACATGGCATCTAAAAGGTGGTTTGATTATCCCGCTATTGACAAGTATCAGACAATGTTATATCCCCTATTACTGTCATTTTCATGTGATGTTTATAGCAGCAATTACTTTTCCTTTCTGATATTATGTTTCCAAGGATCATTTTTTCCTTTTATGTAAAGATTAATTTTGATATAAGAAGCTCATCATTCACCTCCAAAGTAAAAAGTGATACAACCTTCCTGTTTTTTCCCCTTCAAGCTAATGCTTTAAGGAGTGGAATAGGCCGCGCACGGTGGCTCACGCCTGTAATCCCAGCACTTTGGGAGGCTGAGGCAGGTGGATCATGAGGTCAAGAAATTGAGACCATCCTGGTCAACATGGTGAAACCCCGTCTCTACTAAAAATATTTAAAAAATTAGCTGGGCATGGTGGCGCGTGCCTGTAATCCCAGCTACTCAGGAGACTGAGGCAGGAGAATTGCCTGAACCCAGGAGGCGGAGGTTGCAGTGAGCCGAGATCCCCCATTGTACTCCAGCCTGGGTAACAAGAGCGAAACTGCGACTCAAAAAAAAAAAAGAAGGAGTGGAATAAACACTGAGTTTAGGACTTCATATTGCTGCTCTAGAATAGTTCCTCTTTCTTCCATATGTCTCCTCATAACAATATGGGCTTACTGAAACACATAGCTCATTGTCCAGTTTATTGCAGGAAACAAGGGTATACTCAGACCAGGGTTTTTAAAATAATCAGCAATCTCATGGACATCTGACAGTAGGAATCACAATACAGCCGGGCTTC